ATTTAAATTGTCCAAAAAACTCAAAATGTTGTAATGCATACTTTGCAAATGAGATCCAATTCAAAACCTAGTTAAGTTAATCAGGTCTATAAACTGCAAATGACAACTCCAATAAAATTGAAATGTCCTGATGGTAGGTATATTGCTGGTGATTGAGAACAGCTTAAAATTTTGATTGGACCAAAGATATAGTTAAGTGCTTCCTTCCAAGTTGTATGAGGGCCTGGACACATAACAATTTCTATATCTCAAGATATACTGCGTGTTGGAGTCTGTGAGGCACTACTTGGGTAGTTATCCTAAGATAACATTTGCCTGTGTCTCTGAGCCTATATCAATTCTAGATTACTAACATTTATAGATGTTTGACAAATAGTCTGCAAAACAATAACAGAACACCAAGGCCTTAATATTATCATAATTCCCATCTGAAATTGAAAAGCTGTTTACATAAAGGAGAAATACTTAAAACAATTTAAATCAAATGAGATCGCACGTTCTAGAGGACGGTCATTTTCTGCTTCACTACTGACCTCCTCCAAGTAAATCTTTCAAAGTGGGAGCCTGTGTCATATCAATAAATCACCCAGACATACTAATTACAAGCACTGTACACAACCATTTCAAAACAGCGTGAAGATCTTTAGGAATTGTTGTTGGAGTTTTGTATCAATTAACACTAATATGACTAATTTTTCATGCAAACTTAAGCAAAATTGGATATAATACAAAATGAATGCGTCCTGAATAATCTGTTCCCTAAAATAGTTATAAAATCTGCCATTTATTAAACCAATACTGAATTATTCCATTCTCAAATGTAGCATGTGGCAGTCATTTTTAAAGATTGATTTTGTTCCATAAATATCCTGGACAATTTTTTGGGTAATTTTTTCGGATTTTGATTTTGGAGACGACTTTTTATGGGATTTCATTGCTACACAATTCCTTTCCTAGTATAAAAACTACAATCTAATATCCAAAGAAAGAAAAAAAATGAAGTGAATTTAAAAATAACTAGGGAAGAACTAGAGCACACAGAGAATATCAAATGGTGAAATGACAACTCGAGCAGTTTTAATCTGACACAATCACAAAATTACATGTATTGCCTTAAGCTCCAGTCCATGATCAAGAATACACCTCTATTGGACTAGTCAGTGTAGTCCATACAGTGGTAAACAAATATGGGCTAGCTTACGTGCAGCTATTTCTAGCAAACAATTCAACTGTATTGCTCTCTACCATACACGTGTAATGGTAAAGTGATTCTATAGATTGCTACACAGAATGACAAATAATATCCTGTACTTATTGTAGGACGGTGTTTCTGTTATTATCTCTAAGATATCTAGAAGTTTAGAGCAACTGAGGTCATATTTCTTTAAGGTCAAACCTTTAAGTAACTACCAGGTATATGTATGCCTCTATTGATTGTCCTGTCACATCAGAATCCATGAAATTCATGTTGGGTTAGACTGTAACGTAATGCTAATTGCAGTGAAATTCAAATTAGTAGAATAGTCCTTTTGTTAATAAAAACTGAAAATTTTATTTTTTTAAAATTCTGTTTGATATTTTTTCAACATCAGTCTACCCTGCTTCAGGCTAGTTTAAATGGCAACCATAACTTAATTAAGAACAAGAGGCCCATGGGCCTTAACGGTCATCTGACAAAAAGCAAGCCAAACCTAGAAAGTGGGTTGAGGTCATTCATTTGAACAAACTTGGTAGCCTCTCCTCCAAGCATCTTACAGGCCCAATATCAGCACTCATGGACTTTTGCTTGTTGAGAAGAAGTCGTTTGTATATTTTAACATATTTGACCCCTGTGACCTTGAAAGTGGGTTGAGGTCATTCATTTGAATAAACTTGGTAGCCTTTCCTCCCAGCATGCTACAGACCCAATATCGGCACTCATAGACTTTTGCTTATTGAGATGAAGTCCTTTGTATATTTTAACATATTTGACCCCTGTGACCTTGAAAGTGGGCCAAGGTCATTCATTTGAACAAACTTTGTAGGGCTCCATGCCAGCATGATATGGGCCAAGTATTAGCCCCCTAGGCCTTCTAGTATTTGAGAAGAAGTTATTTAAAGATTTTGACATATTTGACCCCTGCGACCTTGAAAGTTGTTCAAGGTCATTCATTTAAATAAACTTGGTAACCTTTCCTCCCAGCATGCTACAGACCCAATATCGGCACTCATAGACTTTTGCTTATTGAGATGAAGACCTTTGTATATTTTAACATATTTGACCCCTGTGACCTTGAATGTAGGCCAAGGTCATTCATTTGAACAAACTTTGTAGGGCTCTATGCCAGCATGCTATGGGCCAAGTATTAGCCCCCTAGGCCTTCTAGTATTTGAGAAGAAGTTATTTAAAGATTTTGACATATTTGACCCCTGTGACCTTGAAAGTTGTTCAAGGTCATTCATTTAAACAAACTTGATAGCCCTTCATCCCAGCATGCCACAAGCACAATATCAGCAATCTGAGCCTTTTGGTTATTGAGAAGAAGTTGTTTAAAGATTTTAACATATTTGACCCCTGTGACCTTTAAAGTGGTTCAAGGTCATTCATTTGAACAAACTTGGTAGTCCTTCATCCCAGCATGTCACAGGCCCAATATCTACACTCTGAGCCTTTTGGTTAATGAGAAGAAGTTGTTTAAAGATTTTAACATATTTGACCCCTGTGACCTTGAAAGTGGGTTGAGGTCATTCATTTGAATAAACTTGGTAGCCTTTCCTCCCAGCATGCTACAGACCCAATATCGGCACTCATAGACTTTTGCTTATTGAGATGAAGTCCTTTGTATATTTTAACATATTTGACCCCTGTGACCTTGAAAGTGGGCCTAGGTCATTCATTTGAACAAACTTTGTAGGGCTCCATGCCAGCATGCTATGGGCCAAGTATTAGCCCCCTAGGCCTTCTAGTATTTGAGAAGAAGTTATTTAAAGATTTTGACATATTTGACCCCTGCGACCTTGAAAGTTGTTCAAGGTCATTCATTTAAACAAACTTGATAGCCCTTCATCCCAGCATGCCACAGGCACAATATCAGCAATCTGAGCCTTTTGGTTATTGAGAAGAAGTTGTTTAAAGATTTTAACATATTTGACCCCTGTGACCTTTAAAGTGGTTCAAGGTCATTCATTTGAACAAACTTGGTAGTCCTTCATCCCAGCATGTCACAGGCCCAATATCTACACTCTGAGCCTTTTGGTTAATGAGAAGAAGTTGTTTAAAGATTTTAACATATTTGACCCCTGTGACCTTTAAAGTGGGTCAAGGTCATTCATTTGAACAAACTTGGTAGTCCTTCATCCCAGCATGTCACAGGCCCAATATCTACACTCTGAGCCTTTTGGTTAATGAGAAGAAGTTGTTTAAAGATTTTAACATATTTGACCCCTGTGACCTTTAAAGTGGGTCAAGGTCATTCATTTGAACAAACTTGGTAGAGCTCCATGCCAGTATCCTCTGTGCCAAGTATTAGCCTCCTAGACCTTCTAGTATTTGAGAAGAAGTCGTTTGAATGAAAAGTTTACGGACGGCGCACGGCGGACGACGACGGACGAAGCATGATGACTATAGGTCATCGGACCCTTCGGGTCCAGATGACCTAACAAAGGTCACATAGTGATCAGGCATTAAATCAAATGTCAACAAATACAACTTGAAATTTTTTGTATGTATGTGATGTTTATTTCCAAACAATACTGATGTAAGTGTATTATAGGGAATGCATGTAGACAGATACAATGTGTTGCTTTGGTCGTATTTGACTGATGTCTACATGTACATGCCTGTATAAGGTAATCTAATGGTGATCAATAGCTGAATGTAATAAAAGTTTCAAATGTCATCATGTATCATTTTGATTTTCTACTAAATTTTCAATAAAGAAAAGATATTTATTGAAACTCTTTTCTTAATCTATGAACTAAAATATCACATTAGCAAAGAAATGAGAGCTCTGTTTGTGCATATTTCACGATATAAGTTTGCGATATATTTCAGCTGAAAACAAAGATATACGGTAATTCCCTCAACAACTGACAACACAGTGAGTACCAGGTATATCCTAAACACAAATAACACCAAAGAAAAGGAAAGCAACAAGTACTAGACCAACAATGATACCATAAGGCTGCTTATGTTCAGTAAATAAACTGGTTCATCAACATTTTAAAGATGAATTTCAGGTCTAAATTAGGACAGACCTGCAGATATTACAAAAGACCTCGATCTGTTTGTAAAGGATCTTCAGACATCAAACTAAGATATGTTTGTCTGTTTTCATCATTAAAATGAACAAGCTTCATAAACTTGACAAACTGAAGCATATTCAATTTATCATGATTTTGAGCACTTGTTATTATCAAAACTATTATTGTCACATTTCAAAGCATAAATTGTTCTTAAAAATAGCCTGTAACCTAAAAAGAATTATTTAATTTTACACAGTGAACAAGTTAATTGATCTTATTACAGAATTTTTGTATATAAAATTTAATTAATTAATTTAATTGATGGCAAATTTGTTAACAAATTAATGAATTCACCTCTTTTTTCTTTACTGCACGTTTATCTTGTACATCGGTAAATAGTTTTAGTTCAATAAATATCTATAGAGTGTGGTAAGTGAAAAAACAATTATCTGGGCATGCAGTTATGAATATGAAGTAAAAATAAATGATAAATTTATGAAATTCATAAAAAACACTATAGGGGTGCTGATATGTAATAAGTAATCATACCTATATCATTAACATTGAATGAATCAAGAATGATGTCACTTGAAATCACACACAACTCAAAAACATAAACCAAACAAAGCTATTCTGAAAAATTGATAATTATCACCCAAGTTAATATTTGAAATAAATGATTTAAATATTACAAAAACATTTCAAGAATTCATATCATATATTATTCTAAAACGTAATATTGTTGGTTAGCTCCTTCGGACAGACAGAAACTACTGTTACACAGAGTAGAGATAGGACTGAGAATACGTAAACTTTGGAGTATCAAAGGGAGAGAACCACTTCCAGCTAAAAGGATGTCCAAATACTGTCTTTATGCTGAACCATTTAGACTTCTGTTCCCAAGTCGGCTGCTCTTTCTTTAGGTGTTCAATGCCCTGAAAATAACAAGAAATCACTAACATATTAACAAAATTGAAATTGAAAATCCCTGAAACAAGAAAAAAATTGAATAAAAAATGAAAGATTTACAAGTAGATTCATTGAAAAGTACAAGGAGAAAAAGACCAGATGTTTCTAAATGGTAAATACCCAGTGTTTCATCAACAACATTGCCATGTAAAGCCTGGTCAATTCAAGTCACAACACCTGATGACGAAGATCCATAAATACATTAGCAGTAATAATAGAAACAATTATTAAATGATTCAAAAGATTGGAATGTTTAACAACTACAGAGAAGGCAACTAAGACAAGAGGCCCATGGGTCTTAACGCACATCTGACTGATGGTAAAGACCTATACAGGTCTTAAAAGCTCAAGTGGTAGTGTGAACATCATGTGGTTCCAACAATTCTGAATATTGTAGTAGTTAAGGAAGTAAACACAATAACAGTGTTCATTTCAGGTTTAAAATCTATTTGTCAACATTACAGCTATACTGTACCCAAAAAATCACAAAACTTGGTCAGTACTTAAGATTGTTACATGCAAATTGGAGCTGAAACCCACAGTTGGAAATTGAAAAGTTTAAAATAAGTATTTGTCCAGAAAAACCATGACGGAGAGATCATATTACAAAATGGCCACCATTACTGCCATGTCAAAAAGTCAAGAAAGACAAAATATAATACTTATAGGACTGTTGGATAGATATATTATGGTATGGTTAAATAGAAGCTTCTATTATGTTACATTGTATTTTAATGAGAGGAGAAAAATCTTGAACGAAAAATCCTGTACATGCTGGCAAATTTTAACATATCAAATTTTATTTTCCCTTCTGGAACAGATTTGGATTGATTTGTATGCAGATCTGGTGTATTTGGTGAACTGCAGATATTGACTGTTGAATCTAGTGTAAGTGAGATTTATATAGTTGTATCAAAATTCAAGGACAGTTCCTTAAAGATTTTCTACAATGCTCAAATCTGAATTTTATTATCTCTATTGAATTTTGGTGAAATACTTCCAAGAATAAATTCATTACTTTTTAACGAGAAATTAAAGAACACATTCCACACAATATTGCCGCCATCTGAAACATGTAATTCTTTGGTTATTGAATTTTCAACAGCAATTTCTTTTTTTCTAACAAAATTTAAACATTTCTAAATTAGAAATGAACTTTCTCAATTAACCTTGGTCTTGTTGCCATTAAACACAAATTCATTATACCTGGTTCATATTAAACTTAACTTTGTTATGTAAATCTATCAGTATGATATTTCTCAAGCTATATCTTCTCTGTGAATGGTAATTGATCGGTTGTGCCATTCATTTCCTGAACTTTAAAACCTAACATAACAGGGTTACACTGCAGCATATTAATTCCCCTAAAATGTGAAACCATGTTAGCGAGCAACATTGACGTAAAACCGCTATAAAATTCAATACGTAAATCAATCAATCATATCATTTTTCTGACAGATTATATTAAGTCTAACTACAAATTTTTGAAAGGTTTTAATTCAAATTTTTATCACAAAAATTGAAAAAAGTCAGATAATAATATTGATGAATAGATTTACCTGTAACATCAAACAAAGCTAATGGCTATTGTTGAAATTCAATTACCAGTCAATTTCATCAATAAAATGTATAGAAAACCAAGAGGCTTATGCACCGACCTTAATGGCAATCTGACAATGAAGTCCCACATATGATATATACAACAGTTGTGGTAAAGTCAATTCTGATATTCTAACAGCTCAAATGACATGGAACAGACAGGGGCAGCACAGATACCAGAATAAAAATGATGGTAACTGCATGCTGCTGTTAAAAGGTGGGGATATAATTTTTTTGTATCATTTAGATCATTTGATGTAGCATAAGTACAGAGCCACATTGATTTATAGTCCACTAATATAACAGCAGTTACAGTTAAGTCTGTGACGATGATGTTACTGTTTACCATCCATACGTGTTACGACTCTCTCAGAAGGCTATATACAGTATTTTACGCAACAGAAAGAAAGCTATCATTATTTACATGGTTTACAGCACCGATGAGACTCCAGATAAAAATTCTGTAGAATATCTGATTAAACTACGGACAGTGTTTGCTTTAGACTATCCTTATGATTAATTAGGCTCTATAAGCAACACCTTCGGCTCGACCTTCAGCCCTCATATGATCTTCACATATCTTGTGATTTCTCCCAAATGTCGATCTGTGACTATATGCCACCGTTCTACCAGGACAATGCGCTATCCAGTGACATCTAAGGCTACACACAGTAAATAGAAAAGATGAAATTGTGATTAATGACGCTGCTATACCCATGATAACCCTGAGCAGAGCCAACTTTTGGCCAAATCAATACCATAAATATCTATAAGTACAATTCTTAAGCAGGCAAAATCCTCCAAAATGTCAGCTGTTACCAAGCGAATCTCAAACATAAAAAAAAGGAATTATCAAATTGATTTCCATGGATGTAAACTAATTTTAAATGTCAGGCAAATATAACATTGCTGGATTTAATCTTCGACTATTAAAGGATAATTGACTTACTGAAATCATGCGTTAAAATGAAATAAATCTGGTAGTCAGTAAAAATGTATTCAATTTGAAAATATCAAATAGACGGCCTGATGCAGCCAAATTACTCAATCCAGTCTGGAAAAGGCAAGCCAATGGGGAAAACAAAATAAAAAATACTAAAGTAGGTTTTATAGGAACGGCTTTATGTACTGTTCTAATTCAAAAGACTCATTTCTACTGTTATTGTGTACAATTACCAACAACTGTTTTGTCTTTAATACTATAATGAAAAATTTATCACCATGGTTTCATATCAAAATTTGACCCCAGATTTTTTTTTTTTTTTAACAATCAAATTGCTTGAATTGTAGATACATGTAACATGTAGCTAGGTATATTGTTAAATGTGCTGTTTTCATAGGTTAGAGGTGGGGGTGGGGAAACATACAGGAAGTTCCTCAATCGATTCCTTTCATTTTGGTACAGTAGAGTTCACCTCTAATCCACTACTCCTTTTGAAGCTGGTAACACCTGTGCAGTCTTACGATGCATAAAAATAAACAATTTGAATATGCACCCATCAGAACCCTGTCATGTTTTAACAAGAAAATAAATACCGCATTCACTTGGATGTCAAACAACCACAGCACTTTATATGACTGTAAACTCCTCAGAATATCTTCAATATGTTTATATACATAATAACTAGTGATTACAGCTTGTCTACAGCTGTCAGAAATTTCGTAAGTTTAGTTGGAGTAAGAAGGAATGTAAACATATCTAGATGTTTTATCCTTTACTATCCCTTTTTCTACGTTACATGTTGTGTGTGTTGAAAAACCAACGGCTAAATAATCCTCAAACAGACCGGTGTTTAACAACAAATATTAAGTGATTTTGTGTTCAGGTGCTATTTCATCTAATATTGAATAATAGTCTAGTGTATAGCTGCCAAAAGTTTAAGTTTAAAGAAACAGACAGGATATTTCTTAAATACACGTTGGTGCAGAAAAGTCAACAGACAAAGAAATTTCAGATGCACATGGTATTTCAAAATATGTTGCTACCTTTCATCTTAAATTTCTAAAGCAACCTGCACAAGTAGTTACCTTACGCATAATAAACTTTTACCTTTCCTTCCTGCAGCCAAAGGGGTAGTCCTCAAGGTACCTCAAGTACTTAAAATGTATTAATTGGTTTATTTAATCTTCCTTCCATGTCTGACCCCCTCATATATATGATGTTAGCTTATAACATTACTATAAATCAGAGAGGTCCTATGTACACAACACAGTATGTGTTTGTGAACATGTATTTGGATATAATAATGCTGTAACCTAATTTCAGTGATGAAAAAACAGTTCGCAGTTGATCAAGATCCATTTTTTTTCATTTAAACAAATTCCTTACCTTTTCTCAGACATTTTACATAATAAATGAAACACTTTCAAAACAATAAAAAGTTAAAATTTTCATGTTGTCAATACAGTATCAAAATCACATTTTTAAAATAAATTTTTGAAAAGTGCTAATCCCACAAAGAAATAATTCTTTAATTATTCTTTAAATAATAAGTCACGTGTAAAATGACCAGCATAATTGGCCATAGTATTCACTTTCAACTACAGACAACAGAATTACTGGGTTATATAATAATATACTGTGGACAATTAGATCTTCAATGTCAGTTATCTAAATAAAAAAAAATGCTTGTTAAAGGTCAAAATCTCTCAACTTTTCTCCTAGGCTACATCTTTCAGCCATAAAAAAATTCAACGTCTCTCGAACTGTTCTATTTTTAGAAATGATGACCTTGACCTTATGAGTTTCTTAAATTGATCATACTCTAATGCTTTACAAATAAGTACCTGTTGTGTGATATTAGGAATTACCTGGGGTGTGTTTAATACCATTGGCCAGTTGCACAATTTAACTTTTTATTAAAGACAGATGTCTTACCTATAGTGCTTGACATACACATACACTGTCACTGTCACATTATGATCACAAATACCAATCAAAACATCTGGGTTTATTGTCCCATCAACAGCCTGCCAACAGAGTGATTTTAAAGCAAGGTCTCCTTGTATTAGCTCATTTCTACAGGTACCTCACTGAACAACATACAGGAAGGCCAATCGCATGCCATCAAGAGAAAATGGACCACAGGGTCTATTACCTTAAAACATTTCTCATCCTCCTGAGAAAAACAAATTGACTTATATATACCTGTTCCGAAAAACTTGAACAACATACAGAAAGGCCCATCGCATGCCATCAAGAGAAAATGGAGCACAGGGTCTATTACCTTAAGACATTTCTCATCCTTAGAAAAACAAGCTGACTTATATATACATGCCCCGAAAAATTTGGATATATAAGTGACACAAAGTGTACATATATGCATAAATGTATATCTCTTTGGGTCACAGATTTGAGGCCTATGTGGGCAGTCACCAGGTAACGACTGCAGGTCAGTAGTTTTTCTTCAGGAACCCCAGCTTTCCTCCACTACCTAAACCAGGCATGTCCTTAAACGACCCTGACTGTTAATAGGTCGTAAAGCAATAATAAACTATATGCATATCATAGAACACATATGTGTAACTTTCAAATAAATTGTCAGTCCTTTCTTTTCGAAGTATAGTTTGTGTCCATGTCATTTGATTCCCTAACTTTACACAACGTCTCACAAAATTGCAGCAAAAGATTAACATTGCATTTCTCATGTGCAGCAGAATTAGAAATCTTAGGGTTAATTTTGGGGTTTAAATATCTAGTCAAGATAAGATTTACACAAATTGATACTGTCATATCTCTTCCTGACACAATGAAGGAGCCGTAAATTTCTGTTAATGGGCACAAATGATCCAATCAATGTTGTCATTAATGAAGGTGATAGCTATGACAGATCTGTAGGGCAGCCATGTTTGGCTGTGAAATGTTAAGAATATCAATAACGGTTATATAATTAAGCTAAAGAGTCTATAATGTTAAGATGATGTGGCCTGGCAATTAATCTGGAGACTTAATTTCCATGACTGTTTTCTTTCCAGCATTCAGTACCATAAATCATTTTCTTTCTCAATAGTTAATAGGGCCAATGTTAATAAACAGGACACTTTCAAAATCCTTAAAATATTCAATTCAAATTCAAAAACAGGTAAATAAGTAGATGTCATTCCATGACATTATGGTATACAGTACTGTCTTACTATTAAGGGATCTTCACACCATGAAATTTCATCGTAGTGTACTGTAGAGACAATCAGAACAATGACGAAAGAAGAGAGGGCAGTATGTCTATTTCAAACTCAAAGTTGAACAATGACCTAAACCTACGTTTAACCCCAATTACACTTTCAAAAAATCTACATAACATCATTTTTGGCTTTATGCCCTGAACACAGCCATCAAAATTGAACAGTTTTTATAACTCTTCTAAATTGGAGACAAGTTAAACAATTTTACAACACAGGCAATAGGAGTATAAATGAGACTCTTCAACCTTAAAATAGTAGTAATGTCTTCATGCTTAATGTATGCTATTGTCACAGAGCAGAGTTTAAAAACCTTCTATTGCAGAATTTAAACCAGTACACATGGCTCTCCTTGGTTCTAAATTACTTCCCAAGGTCAACTGCATTTTGTTTCTCTTGAAACCTTAAGTGGTTTTATACCGTCATTAATATACTTAATTGAATCAGCATTACAACTGCGTTTAACGATATAGTTCAATAACATGCAAGATGTAAGCTCGGAATGGATATTGTAACTAAATTTCAGGGGCGTATATACCCCAAGCTATAGCTTTTGCAGATCAGTGTTACAGATTTTGTTTGATTTGTTTTTAATGTTTTAACTTTTACTCACTGGTTTGGGAGGAGGTGTTTTTGCCTCATTTAGAGAAGTAAATTGGTAAATTGGGCAGGAAATCTTCAGGAGTGAACTGCAATTTCTCGGAATCAGCGCCAAAAAGCAGCCCTTCTTGTATATCTATGTTTTCATTAAATTTGGACAGTTCTAATCTAGACTCTAAGCAGCTATCAGTAACTTAAAAGTGTTTTTGGTAAAAAAATTATTCCACTGCATCCTAGCTTCTACATAGCTTGTCTTCCTCCAGAATTAAGGAAAGCAAAGAGATCACAATTTCAGGTCTCAATCCAATCTATACATCCAAAAAAGACTTTAACGTAAATCACTTAAATGGACAATGAGTTACCTCACAATTATCTTGCTTTTTTGGTGGGTTTTTTTTCTTAAATTTGTTGTGGTTTTTCCATAACTTGTTTTAAATATTTTTTGCTTTTGTTTGCTTAAGGTTAGATCAGTTTAGAAATAAAATTAATATCATCAGCTGTCACAACTGACAATTAACAGATGATCATACCAACAAACATTAACTGAACCTTTATTACTGATTGAAACATTTTTTTTTTTTAATTTTGAGATAAGTTTTGTAAATTTGATACTGTAATATCTGTAAAGCTACAGCCATGTATTAAACACTGACTCTACAATATGAAATCCCTTCTATAATGTGGGTATGGTGACTATTATAATTCTATTTTTCATATTAATGGACATTTATATAATCACATGTGCATATTATCATAAACAAGATGGGTCCTCCTTAAGTCTTTAATATATTATTGATAACACCTTGTAGTTACTAAAAAGGATGAAAAAGTAACACCTCATTTTATCAAGTGTTGAAAATATACAATCATTATGTAATATTGTATCTATCCTGTAATAAGCCCAGAGAGAGGGCCAAAACATAACACTTGACTCAAAAAAGTTTGGGTATGCTTATTACAAGACTAATAATGTCTGGTTTTAGAATTTTAAAGCTGAGCTATTGAGTAAGTATTAAAACAATAAAGACCCACATGTACTTATTATCTGGCAATGCTGGAAAGATACAGCAGTTAAAATGGAATAACTGTCTAACTCAATCCTTAAATACTTACACCCAACTTCATTATTTTATATAAAGACAAAGTTCTCATGTACTACCACCTCCATATATATAAAGCTTTCACTACCAATCTAAACTAAGAAACAGTTTTAAACCCTTACTACAAATCAAAATTTTACAAAATCCTTGTTTTAGGTCATTCCATCGTGAAAGAGATCTTCTCTACAGGAACATCAAGAAAGCATACTAACATATGAGCAGAATCATAATCCACTCTTAAATTATACTAAGGAAAAATATGAGCAAAGGAAAAATTTACATGGAGATGCCTGAAAAATGTACATGGAGAATAAGACCAGGTGTTCCAGAAAAGTAAGCTTCTTATGCTTTGTTGAAAACATCTTCCATGTAAATCTTGGCCAATCCAAGTAAGTAATGTCACATCCTCAAAGGAGAACGAGGTATACAACAATGGAACCAACATGCAAATAAGATCCAACTTGCTAAGAAGAGATTGAAATACTATGCACTCGTATCCAGGGTAGACAATCTTGGTTAAACAAAATGTTTTCTTACCTTATGATTTCAGATATAAATGAAAGGACATCTTTGTGAGACTCCATTTTGTTTATATATATACATATTATGTATTTGAACTCAGGAAAAACCGCAACCTTTATTTTCAATGCCATATAAGGAATAGTTGTACTCACTGTTTCATCAGTACAGATGCTAGACAGCTGTGTGCCACACATGATAGCAGTAAATATGCCAAACAGCAGACTCTCAAAGATGAGGAATATTAGGAAAACTGTTGTAGCTGGTGGTGAAATCCCTGAACAATCTGCAAAATAAAACAACTCAACTGATCTTTCTTTTTTATTAAGAATGAAAATTTAACTAAACTAAGAATAATTCCTTAACAGCATTACTGGACAGAGTTGGTCAGTTGATGTAACGGGCAAAAGCCTTGCCTTTCACCAAGGTGACTAGTGTTGTAACTTGTCTGATCCTGTGAAATCCGATTCTCCAGTTTTATCTCCAGAATAAAAACCATCTGTCAATTTGACAAGATCTATCAGAATTAAGTACAAATGAGTTGATTGATGTATATAGCTGTTTCACAGAATTGTCATAAACGTTTTAAAGCTTGCAGTTTGAAATGTATGATCAGACATGGCTTTGTCACACTTGATCAAGTAACCCTGATTTCAACATCAAAGTCAGGATTTTTTTCTAACATTTTTACATAAAAAAAAGAACATTGTCTTAAGTTAAAAAGGATAAATGAAATGAAAGATTTAATGCTTTTTAATCATACATTTATGTTCATGTATATTCTATTATTGGAAGCAAATGGAAATTAAATGATTGATGGTAAATTTTTGGTACTGTATCTCATAATATAAAAACAGGTACACATAACATATATAATCTAAATTCAAATCTGATAACCACTATCCTTCAATTTCTGGTTTGTTTTATGAAGATTGTAATTTAAATTGCATGTGATTTGAGATCATTCAAAGTTTGAATTCTGTATCATAAACACTACATGGTTGGGAAAGACATTTTTTTTTCAAAAGTTGATGATTTTTAAATCATGATTTTTCAAACACTATACTGAATGTGCTGACTGATTAGGTAGAGACACATTCATCATTTCCTGGTCAGTGCTAACGTCGGTCAGTGATACAGTCACATGTCACATGTATAATCCGTCATCGAACAGTTGAGTGGACATTGGCTATCAGTGATACTGACCATTATATATTGTCCTTACTGACCAGACACTGACCTAACCACTATAAATCAACACATTATTGCTGTTATGTTAGAACACACAAGTAAATAAAGTAACCATTCACAGACATTAATACAAAATGTTTTCACTACCTTAAAACATTTCTAAGGTAAAAATGCCTAATTGATAACAATTACTCTGCTGCTAAAGCTCACCCTTTCACATTCAAAACCATTGTTACTGCCTGGAAGCAGACTTATTTTTTTCTAGAACAGTTCACTACACAATGGAGTCTCCTACGATAGAAGCAGTACAACACTTGAGGTTTCAAGGTATCTATCTCCTATATCATAACATTGTAGCCCTTGATGCTTTCACATAAAACCACTTGAGGTTAATATTCATTTTTTATTTTTACCAATAACCCAACAGCTACCAGTATAAGTTCAATAAACAGCTGCATGTGCATTTGACAAGTTGAGAAAAAAAGATATAAAAATTATTCACTATGGCTTGAATGTGTCATTTCCATTTTCTATTAACTGTAAATATAGATACAAATATTAATACATTCATATGAAATACGAATTTCCTGTCAATTCAAAATTTCACACTATTTAATTTGGTAGTGATAGTAAATTAATATAGTGTATAATTAAAAACATTTGTTATTCTGATGTAAAAATAAAAAAAAGTCAAAGCAAATACATTTTTAGGTTAATAAATAGGTTTTACAGTAATAATAATTCATCTTTCATGAAATATTCATTACTGCTACAACATGCCAGGGAAAATACTTATCTGATTGCATAACATAATCACAATATAACCTGTCTTTCTGAGATATTTCACAAAAAAAACTATATCAAGATTAAATTCCTAAAGTCTGTTGAACCATAAACAATTAACTGATGTTGATTAATTAGCTTATCATCAATTACAAATAAACATATACATGTATATACAAGGTTTCCCAAGCTGACAGGACTACAACCCACCAATCAGAATTTGCCATTGATATGACCTGGACCCAATTCTATTTCGGTCAACATTCGTTCACACTTTCCCTCTATGTATGTTATTTCCAACTTAATTAAGTCCTTGCACTCTTCCTCATAACAAGAGTTTTCACATGACTGACATATGCAATCTACGTCTAAATGAAATCTATCAATTTTGAAAAGAATTGAATGCACAGCTAACAGCAAAATAAATCATACTTGGACCAAGAAAAGTTCTATCATGCTTGGTCAGGCAATTTAGATGAGGACAAACAGTTTGAGCATGAACTTGTAGTTATAGTAATTCTCTGTAATTCATATATGTGACCTTAATCCAGCAATAAGAACTCACCCTTAAACATTTTTCCAATTTCTGCTTCGAAAGTTCTCGAATCCTCATATATTAGACAACCATAGATCTCCATTTTATTTCATTTCAATTTTGGCATTTCTTTTTTTTTTGCTACCTTTACTGACTGACCAAAAATGTTTAGTCCAATAAAATATCACCAGTAATAGGAAATTTATTTATGATCTTTAGTCCATGAATGATGTCATTTCAACAGAAAATTCTGATTTTGAAATGCTGAGCTTGAATAAAAGCAACTTACAACAGGTCAAAACAAATTCCTGCGAAAAGCCCAAACAGAAATCAAACGTGGGTGTCTAGCATGATAAGCCATTTATCAGCTCATACACAGTACTATGTTCTGATAAAGTCATATTATGCTCTGTAAGCTGTCGAGTGACAGAGACTGCCTTTCAACACTTTACAAGCTAAAGCAACAAAGTACATTAACAAACCAGGCACTCCTTCTACATGTGCTATTTACTCTCTGTTAAATCTGATCCCTTGAACTTCATTTAATCACAATTTACATTGTCAATTATCCTCTTTGAACAATAAACAGCTGTTTTACCTCCAAACCTATAAGTGTTGATGCTATGTTTGAAAATTAATGTGTATTTATTGTCATTTCATGTGCAGATTTCATTCCAGAATATTTTCCTTGTATAAATATATTATTACAAATGGGACATAAACGCCAAAAGCCTAAATAGCATTACAACCTGTTTTCTTAAGTAATTAGTAAAAACTTGTGATAAACAAAACATTTTAAAGCTTTACCCTTGAAACTCCTGGTTTTAACCATTATCTCACCAAACATACAGTACATTATCCAAGCTACAACATACATTACAGTATCTGTAGTATATTGTTGCAAAGAGCTTATGTAGCCAAGAACCTGGAACAATGTCGTCAAGTAATATGTCAAAAGGGATTTGTTCCATTAATCAAAGAAAAAAGAAATTTATTCTCCATTTCATGTTTGAAAACAACACTAATACATATGATTATTTGCAAATCTGAGGATTTCATCTCGAGACAAATGCATGCTTTGACACTACAAACACAAAGTGAATTACTAAAAGGAAATTTCAATGGCCTTGAATAAAGGATAAATTGTTTCATAAACAGTCTAATTGCATTGAAAATAAATTTCATCTAATTTCAATCTTAAATATAACTCCGAGAGGATATATTAAGGCATAACAATTTATTGACTGTTTTTATTGTCACTCTCAATGTTATTGATAATCTTGAATTGATGTCACAGAACAATATTGCCCACAAATTGATATTTCTGCATGTACAGGATTTAGGGTTGGCAATAACTTCTCGACTCTCTCATGTATAAACATGTATAAGAGAAAAATGGTGAAAAAACAAGGTCATACAAAATTAACAATATCCTATATGGAAAGTGGGTTATATTGGTTTGCCTGCAGCGGACACATATGACATTCTGGTAATTGAACGCTCCACAATAACAGATCTCTCCAACAGCATATATAGGCACAATATCAATTGTTCCTGAGAAATTGATCATAAACAGTATTATAACCATGAAATTTCCCGTGATTATTGAGACAAATTAAAAGTCTCAATTACTGTTCACATGCTTATCATTTCTTAGTACGAAATACTCACAAAATGCTAGGATGGTTGTGTCCAAAAAAGCATAAATTTTCAATTATATCTGTAATGATGTACAAATCAGCCATTCAGGTAGATTATAAAATTTCATCAATAGCATTTCTAATTTCTGTAGAAAATCTTATTCTCTCATGGATTTTCATAATGTGGTTGAAATTTTCTAATTCTCAAATTTAATACAAAAACAAAAATCAATATTAAGGAACTGCTGCTCATCTTTACTCATCACAAATTTGAAATATGCAATAATTTAAGAACAGTACCCTGGGGCCAAAAAACAGGTTCGTCTCATGCCAGTTCATATTCATGATTAATTGTACCATAAAAAATACAAATACGGAAATGGTAATAATTAGTCTACCATGTTTCAGAGCAATTGGAGAAAGATGAGGAACATCTTTGTAAAAAATTATGATGCTGAGAATTGAAAGGGCAATGACTCTTTCCTTGTTGAATCTTACTGTTATAGTATTAAAGACTACTAAACATGAAAGAAAATCAGTTGAAAGCAGTAAGAGATCTCTGGACATGTTTAACATAATGAAAACATCAACCTGCAGTAACATTAGAACAGAAACCCTTATGACAAAACCAGTAGATTAGAGTTTTATGTTTCTATGACAACATGGTCACCTCGTCAGACAAATGACCAGCGTGAAGCTTATTAGCAATCCCCTACGTAGTGTAAAGATGGTGAGGAATCAACCAACTTTTCCAACTGTACTACAGTTTTATGAAAGCTAAGGTCGGTATACAGATTATAGACTAAAATAAATACACAAGATGGTAATGATGCACTGTAGTTAGTTAGGCTAGGCTTTATTAACATTTGGTCGTAGATGTACGAGAGTCTATGGCCCCCATCGTCCCTATTTAGTACTGACCAGCGGTATTATCCTACAACGATACATTTTTACCATCCTGTTTAGTTTTTTTATCTATAATCTGGCTACATACCACTAAAACTGTCACGCTATACTTACAATTCTTACAAAGCTATTTCTAATGGATAATACTTATGCTCAAAATAGCAACTTTCCTTAAAAAACTATATTAAACTTCACCCCCTCCCCTTGGGAGATATAAGACACTGGATTCAT